ATCTTCGGTACGCCCGATGCCGACCCACTTATCTACATGCAAAACAACAGAACGTGAAACTTATTTAACCAAACATAATTCTCATTCATCAAGGAATAACAAGTGTAATATCCACTAAAGAAAAGCTTAAGTATATAACACCAACAGTAGTCGTCAAATCTGAAAGAGTACAAATTTTGCCATAGCATCCGCAAGGTCATAGTTAGACTTTTCTTTCATTGACTCCACTAATCTATGTGCACACTCATCATATTCTTCATTGACGTTGTAATTTCCTCTGTTGAATGATTTCTTTCTGAAATTGTTTATATCATTACTCTAAGCATTTCTTGAATTGCTGCAACCCCTACTCTCTTACCTAAGTTGGTTATTGCCGCTTTACTACATTGTGAGAAGTCCCCAACAAAGGACCTCTTACTTTTTCTCCTACTATTCGATTCCATTTGCATGTCACCAGGAGAATGAATAGGGGTAGATGTACGTGAGGGGCTTATCTCTCTCCATACCTCATCCCATGATTCATGTGCCGCAGAACAATTGTCACAACCGTAATTATCATTGCCGCTCTCGTGTAATGGGAAAGGAACATACACCTCATCGACTTCTTGCATCACATGTTTTGTTGTGAACTTGATACTGGAGTAACTTTAATTTTTCCTTGGGCAGAAATAGGAAAAATTTGATCCATTTTACACTCCAGTTCTGTCTCGATCTCTTCTTCTCGAAACACTTCATACTTGGAGTTTTCCTAAACGTACCACGTGAAAATATATAATTAAGATTTACACTATTTATAAATAGAAACTAAGTAAATTAAAAAAAAAACAACCTTAATTTTCAAAGCTCACCATTCATATGTAGATCTATATTCTAGCAATTGCAATTTTCTTTGGCCTGTGGGTTTAATTTAAAAGGATTTAGATTGCTATAAGGCATCTAAGAACACTTCCCTTAGACATATGTGAAGTTTTGAAGAGCATTTGATCACTTTGTAATTGTTAGAAGAATCAACTATGCAATTTTCTCACTTTCATTTTTAATTTTTCACAAACTGTTGAGTTGCATGTGGTCAATTTTGGCTGATTGTGACTGTGCTTCTGGCATATCTGTATGCATATTAATATGGCTATTAAGGGAGACAAAAAATGAAATGATTACAATTGACTTAATGTAGTAAAATTGTGCTTGTCAACAGTAGTCACATGTAGGAATGAAGAACAAGGATTGACCAATATGAATTGATCATTGATGGGTAACAAATATAAATGTACTGTCAAAATACAACTCATTAAATGTAAAAAATTATGTAACCATTACACACAAGACCATGATTACAAGTAATGAATTATGACAATTCAAGTGACAAATAACAAATTTTATGCTAAGATACTTCATTTATTGATTATAGGCACTTCAGCTAAATTAATGCAGCCAAGTTCACAATTATGAAGAACATTTAAGAAATGGGAGAGTTAACCAAATGTTGCTGAAGATTTCCAATTCATTTACTATAAAATAAGGATAATCAATTACACATTGCAGCATCAAATCTGATAAGCCCCACTCTGTTTTCCCAGAAGGAAAAACAATCAAACATAAACAGAACAACACACACACACACACACACACACCACACACACAAAAAAGAAAAAGAAACGCCTTAGTCATATTATACTATGAAGTGAGTTCTGAAATCGAAATCTGTGAATATCCCTCGATTTTCTCTTCAATTCCTTCTCCGCTTGTCGTCTGGGCCTGACGATTATATTTAAAAGAAAAGTTATGGCTATAGACATTAGCAGAAAGAGAAAAAAGCAAAAAAAAAATTCACAAAACAGGACACTGAGAATTAAATTAAAGCTACCACTTGCCTTGTTTAGTATATCTTGGTTCATTTGCTTTTCTTCCTCCTTATCTCTCAATGACCTAACCTGAGAAATCCTCTGTCCAAAACAGAGACATAGACAGAAAGAGAACATCATTAAGTTGATTTAATTATCCTGATGACACGTGGCAAGAAACTGAAAGTCTTGTGAAATTTTACAGTGCAAGCTACTCTGATTTCCTTGAGTCGGTAGAGCCGATCGACCTCGATCTCGAGCTGCTTCTGAGCTTGACCCCGGTTAAGAATGTCCTGCAAGTGCAGGTCCAGCATTAGGCCTCTCTCTCTAAGAAGCCTCTCGTTTTTTTCCCGGTCGATCCTCAGCCGGTCGAGCCTCTCACGGATGGCGCTTAGCTCGTCTGCTAACGACCCGTCAATACATTCCATCGAGCTGTCTTTCTGTTGTGGTGGGATGTTCTCTTTGTTGTCGTGGGCCCACCAGTCGAGTCTCGGTTTGGGTTTGGGTTTCGGTTTGGTGATGGATAGTAGTTGGTTCTTGGGCTGTAGGGGTTTGTGGCTGGTTTTGGGAAATTGAGTTGCTAGCATTTTTTTTTTATCTTTGATTATAATTTTTTTTTTTGAAAGTTAGTTTGTTGATGATTTTTGGAGAAAATATGGGTTGAGTAGATGAATACTTCACTTAAGACAAATTGGGAGATGAAGAAAGAGAGAGAGAGAGAGAGAGGGAATGGTGTTTGAATTTTTTTGAATGAAACAAGCGGAATAACGGCTACTATTTCAACTAATTGTTTTTTATTTTATTTATTTATTTATTTATTTATTTATTTTTTTTTAAGTTAAGGCTAAATGAGAATCTGCAGCAAGTAGGGTCCCACAAGACAAAAAGGAGGCAAAACCGTATCATCAAGACACAGAAGTCCAAAAGAAGTAGAACTATCAAAGTATTATTCTTCATTTTGTCACAAGAGCATCAATCAAGAATCAATATCCTGAATTTGAAATTCAACCATCTCATTCACCCCCAATCAACCCTACATGTGTGAGAAAGAGGGTTGATTTCATTTCACCCCACACGGGACTTCCAAATTTTACCGTTGGAGCAACACACACCTGTGTGGGTATATATGTGCGTTGATTCAATTGTGAAAACCTCGATGACTGCATATAGATCAAACGGTTAAAAAATTCGGTGGCTTCAATAAAGGGTAGGAATAGGATCGTAGTGAAAGTAACGAAAAAAAAGAAAAAAAAGGCTGCACATTAGAAGTTTAGAAAAGAAAAATCAGTAAGATACAATTTTATTTTCACAAATTCAGCATGGAGTCTAAAGCATGTAATATATAGTGTACATTCAGATTCAGTCCCAATGTAAAAGGAACAAGGAGAAAAGGAGAAAAAGAAAAATATACTACTCAGCAACACAAAGAACAAAAATTATTGTGCAAAACACAAGATTTTACACACACACATGCACATAGAAAGAGCCTGGTTATCCTTCACAAAATTTGTTTTAACTACTATAAATAATCCATGGGCAACTCCCAATTATCTGCGTTCCTTCTAATCTTTGAGCCACGTCTTTTGCTTGACGATTTCTTTCTTTGCTTTTCGGTGAAATAATTTACATGATGATCAAACTTGCGGTTGTTTGAGATGCCTGCATTCTGGCCATCCCATATTCCCTATAATACAACATTAAAAGAATATAAGTGGCGTATAATATTGATATATGTTATGAGTCGATCCATTGCGGTAGATTCTTCCGCGGAAGTCCATAGAAAGCACCTTAGTAAGCCTGCGTACTCGTGATATGGCAGCAGTTTCGTGTACAAAAACTGTGTCAATAGAAACTTTCACCACATCTTCCACGAATACAGCATAAGTGCTTACCTATGAAATAAAAAACATTGTCAGTCAATCATCGCGATAAGGTACAGTCTTTGCGAAATACTGGGCAATAGGGCCTACCAAACTTGATGGGATAATGGAGATTCCAAATGAATCGAGCTCAAGGGACTCAACTCTTCCCGAGTTGATATTAAAATTGTAGCCACGCACCTAAAAACCAATCAACACAGGATATTGTCAAGTATCGACAAAAGGTAAAGGTTGAGGGAGGTAGACAGAAGAATATAGTGTGTACTTTCCCAATACGTTGACCATTTGAGGTTACCACACTGTATCCTACCTGTCAAACGTCATTTATTAGGATGGTCAGTGAAAATTAATCTCCTGAAAAAGATAAATGCACAAAGAAATCAGTCTGTTTCATTGTTGGCGGCAAATTTTCCATTGTAATTCAGTATTTTAAAATGATTTCTAAAAAATGATGGTAGCATGAAAAAGAACAAACTGAGAGTGCAGAAATTATGGTAACAAAGTCTTCTCTCGTTCTATCACCATGCTACCAGTTGTTTTATTCTTGCATTGTTATATTCAACGTTATTAACTTAAACTGATTAAAACTGGAAAGCTACTCAGTACCAGAAAACAGGTTGATGGAAAAATATGCAGTAACCGTAGGAAGCAAAAACACATACCAATGTCTCCAATCCAACAGATTTTATATCAACTGATTCAACTTCAATCACATTCTCATCCTCAACGAAAATAACATCCCCCACCTGTCACAGATGGAAAAAAAACACAGCATATTCACAGTTAAGATGTATTAAACATCAAATACGCACAAGATAGTCCAAATCATATTGAAGATAGTCCTAATCTTATTGAATATCAGATCTTTACCTGTCTGATCTCCTTGAAAAGAAACCTCTCAAATGCACCTGATAGTAAGTTTGGCTTCACTTCCACAGCCATCACAACCCACTGGTACATAGAAAACGAAAAGGGCCTTTAATGTATAGAGCTGAAACCCACGAACTACACTTTCTAGGTGCTAATGGTTTACGACAACAAACCATCCCTGGAATCAAAAGACCTCACAATATCTTTTGAAAAATATACGAACATCCAAAACACATACTACGGAAACAAAGTCTTGATTTTCACATCCAAATTTGGCAATTTTGACATATAAGCGGCGCAGCCTTAAAGTCACACAAAAACTGTGTCATGAAAATTGCAGAACCAAACTGCACCTCACCATTACCAAACAACTCATGCAAAAGTTTCTGTAGCTCCTTTCTATAAGCCTAAGAAAAGCACGAAAGAGAGGAAGTAATAAGAGAGCCCCATTAATTCTTCCATGTCCAATAAAGCAAACAGACGATGGGATTGGTGACTTACTGAACTTGTGTGCACCCAAAGCTGCGAGACAAAACCTAAACTGAGAGAGCCAATCGAATGCTGATAAGTGATAACTTGCTTGGCCATAACATTTGATCTGTTAGAGTCTTTTACTTTTAAATTGTTGTTAAGTTGTGTTGACTAAGTCCTAGTCAAAGTAGTTGTGCTTTCCAGGAGTTTGTTGATGATGGGATTGTGCTATCCCTGATTTTTTGGTGTTCTGTTAGTATGATTTATGTTTTGCCTATAAAAGGACTGTTGCTCATGAATAAAATAATTAGAGTTTGAAGTCCATTATTTTCTACCTTTCTTTGTTTTGTTTACTGCTGATTTCTAACAGTGGTATCAAGAGCTTTGTGAGATCC